ATTTACTTCCCAATAGTAAAAACAAGCAAATGGAAATTTTGTTTAAAATGTGTAGGACGTAATGTAGTAATGAATTTACTATATACTCACATCATGATGACACTCTTAGGAACAGTGCAATACACTCCACACTGAGAAAAAAGAGGTTAACGGTGATTTACATGCAGAGCAAGCTAAATCACAGTGTAAACGCAGTGCATTATATTATCTTCAAACATTGTGCTTGGCAACAATTTTGTCATAGTCAATTCACATGTTAGACATTGTTTTCTTTGTAATTCACAATGTGTTTTCTATGAGCTCTTTTGATTATTGGGTAGTTTTTAAAACAGAGAATGAAAACGAAATTGGCAAGTTGTAAGCCTTGTATGAATTAATTTTATGTAATAGGACTAAAATTTAAGAGGTTACTGGAGCCCGTGGTTGGAAGTTAGTTTCATTAGTGTGCCATTGTCTATAAAGAAAAAATAAACTCTTAATAAACGAGCTTGATGTATTTATTGAAATTAATTAAGAAAGAAATGAAGATAAAACAAAAAAAGAGACAAAATAATTTGATTACATATTGAACAACTAATTACTCACATAATCCTATTTGGAGAATTTTAATGCGTCTATTGCAACTGTATGTTTTATAAATAATCCCTTCTTTAAAATGGTCGATGTTATATCTAAATGGATTGTAAACTATTCTATAAATATATGTGTAAATAAATTTATATATTGTTCAACAGAGTTGTTTAAACATTTGTTTAACAGCAAGTAAAAGCTTGGAATGGATTCTTTCATTGGGGGTGTGTCTGTGGGCCAATCAGTGACCCAGGACACGACCACAGAATGAAACTTCAGACCAAACCAAGCCTTTATAGTAGTGAGGTATCGAAATGGTGTTTTTAAGTGTTTTACACTCACAAAAAGAAACCTATCATTCTATAGATATTTGAAGACCTTGTTGCATTCCGCCACAACTTAATTCTTCGTATTTATAGCTGACACTGGGCAGCTGATACATGGTTGAACAGAGTTGTTTAAACATTTGTTTAACAACGAGTAAAAGCTTGGAATGGTCTATTCTTTCATTTGGGTGTGTGTCTGTGGGCCAGACTAGTTTCAGAGAATTCCACTCTTCATCAGTGACTCTAGACACTGTTGTTACTTGTTGTTAAACAAATGTTTAAACAACTCTGTTCAACTATGTATCAGCTACCTAGTGTGGCTAAAAATACGAATAATTAAATTGTGACAGAATGCTACAGGTTCTTCAAATACCTATAGAATGATAGGTTTCTTTTTTGTGAGTGTAAAGCACTTAAAACACCATTTATATTTATTTATTGTTTACACACTCTCTTTTTGTCATTTATTCATCATGACACCTAAAGTTAAACAACACCAGGATTCGATCCAGGCATTACCACTACAATGATAAGTTATGTAATTATTATGAAATGGACAGTGTAGAGTTGATTTATAAAGTTCATTAACTCTGGGGCAACCAAATGATTTCAAATTATAGCAGGGAATATGAAAGAGATTTCTCAACAGTTCGGTTTTCTCACTCCCCTTGGTAAACACAGCTCTAAAGCTCTTTCTTAGTAAACTAACCACATTCCAAAATTCTATAGTTCCATCTTCACAAAATATTTCGTAAATATTTGTTTTCAACCACTTATATTGTCTGCAATCTGTTTCTGATAGAAATTGCTTCAAAAATGTTCAGTTAAAGAAAAAAACACCTGTATAATCACGTTGTAAACATTTGAATGCAAGTTCTTTAATAATGTATGGTCTGTCCTTCAGATAAAATCCTTCAATATTTACCACAGCCGAAGTCATCACAATTTATGGACATATATCACTTAGGCATGTAAACTACAATCTCATCTACTAGAAATAAACCAGTTCTTAAACCTAATTGGTCAGGAGTTTGCAATTTCAAATCGACGATCAGATATTCAAACGGTTGCTGAGTTGCATCTTGATAGAATTCTTTAAAGTATTTGACATGTGTCAGAAACACTTGTCTCACTGAAACATTCAGCTGAGACTTGTCTGTCACATTCTTGAACAAAATTATGTATTGAGAGTTTAAAGTAATGTTATACATTTCTCTACCATGTTGGAATACATACCATATAAACATGGCTAGATTCAAATGGTGACTTCCATATATAAACTCCCTTATTTTCTCCACTTTCACACGTAAGATCACCAATTATAAAAAAGATTTAGCTTTTTGGGTTATACATTTTCAGGTAAGCCTTGGACAAAACGAATATTAGGAATGGTTTGCATTAAGTTAGCATTAAGTTCACTACAGCCCCATGTAACGTTTTCTAGAGTAGATTGAATAATATCATGATGGTTTAATAACACACTGCTATCAAATTGGGTTTTACTGCTTTCAGTTGGACCCAACATTAAACAAATGAAAGGATGTTATAAATGGTAATCCATCTTAAACTAGAATGATAATATATTCTTCTTCTGTAGCTTTTCCCGTATCTATACGGGGTCGCTATTTTTGACAGCACGTTTCCACTCTCCTCGGTCTTCGTATTCGTCCCCAACAAGGCCTTTCTCTCTAATATCTCCATCCACGCAATCCTTCCATCACTTGGTCTTCCTCTCTTCCTTCTCCCCTCCACCTCCATATCCAAAACCCTCTTGTCTATATAATCATCTTCCCTCCTCATCACGTGCCCATACCACTGCAATTTTCTCTCCTGAACTTTCTTCGATATTTCCACCACTTTAGTTGTTCCTCGAATCCTCTCGTTTCTATTCCTATCAAGCCTCGTCACTCCACACATACATCTCAACATTTTCATCTCGGCTACCTCTAATTTCTTCTCTTGAGCCTTTTTGATGGGCCAGGCTTCTGCTCCGTATATCATCGCAGGTCTCACAACGGTTTTATAGACCTTTCCTTTCACCCTTGCGCTGATCTTATTGTCGCATAGCACTCCCTACGCATTTTTCCAATTTCTCCATCCCGACTGGATTCTATGGCTTATTTCAAAGTCAAGTGTACCGTTTGATGCCACATAGGACCCAAGATACTTAAAGGTGTTTACCCTTTTAAGTTTATCGTTAAATAAAGTAACATCCCCCATTTCCTCTTCTCCACACCAAGGCTCTTCTCTAAGCCCGTACATCTTCGACGTGATAATGGATGTGCTGGGCCAAGGGATCATCGAACCGGCACCTTGGGACATGTTATTTGCAGATGACATAGTCCTCATAGATACCACCAGGGAGGGAGTAGAGCAGAAACTGGAGAGATGGAGGAGAGCGATGGAGGACAGAGGACTTAAGGTCAGTAGAGAGAAGACGGAGTATATGGTTTTTAGAAGTCCAAATGTTACTGTGAACTTCTCCATCAGCCCGACACTGGTTCTTACTTGCGTCCTCGCTCCCTCATACATATCCTTCACCAACTTCACATACTTTTCAGACACTCCCTTCTCTCTCAGGCATCTCCACACTTCCTCTCTCGGTAATCTGTCATATGCCTTTTCCAGATCTATAAAGACCAGATGTAGCTTTCTCTGTTTTTCACCATACTTTTCTAACATCTGCCTGACAGCAAAGATGGCATCCGTTGTTCCTCTCCCAGGCATAAATCCAAACTGCTGTTCACCAATATCTGTTTCTTGCCTTATCCTTCCTTCTACTACTCTTTCCCATATTTTCATTGTGTGTGACATCAACTTAATACCCCGATAGTTCCCGCAGTCTTGGATGTCACCCTTTTCTTTGTATATTGGTATGATCACGCTATCTCTCCACTCATCTGGTATCTTCTCCTTCTCGTAAACCTTCCTCAACAGATCCCACAGCACCTCGACTCCGTGACACATTCTGCAGCCACTGAATACAACATTTAAATTTTTAGCCGTGGCATAGTGGCTCGTAGAATGTGTCCGAGTAGTTTTATAAGTACAAACTTTTATCTCGTAGCTCCATCTCTTGACCGATTTGAGATCTAATTAGACCTGCAGTTATTAAGGATTCCCTCTCGTTTTACCACAGCAATTACTTTTAAACTGTAGTCGTGTAGCAATTGTTGTGAACAAACAGTGATTTAATTCTCAGTGTTAATTTGGTTATTATGTGGCATGGATGTGCGATGGAGTGTGGCTGCAATTTATTTATGTCAATGTTTGCATCTGTCATTATAGTGATTTGCAATGATCTGAAAAGTTTGTGTGTGCAATTTGTATTATATATTATAATATTATCAGATACCAGATGGAAAGAAACGGATGAGTGGGGCAGAGTACCAAAAATAAGATGGGAAAGAAGTGAAAAGAAACCAGTGGCCATAACAGAATATTGCAATATTTCATATTGAATATTCTGATTTCACAAATCTAACACGCAATATGCTGACAAGGTGAGAATACTGACAAAACAACAGTTTGAAAGAAAGTCATTTAAATGTGGTAAGTGAAAACGGAAATATCTGGTATTTTCAAGAAGCACGGGGATGGTGATTTGGACTTTTCGTAAAGTCTCAGATAGCAAAGGAAGGTTTTAAGAACTCGAAGAATGGTACTACTTATTTCAAAAACATGAAAATTCACATAAGCATTAGACCATGCACAATGACTTTAAAAGTGAGAGGAAATACTTTGAGTAGGTTCTATGAAAAGCTTACAACGTAGGTTAATTGGTTGTTTTAGAGAAAGCCACATTGGGCTATCTGCTGTTTCCGCCTCGGGGAATTGAAACCTGGATTTTAGAGTAGGAAATCCGTAAAATTACCAAAGTCTCGCGGAGGTACAGCTTACAAAGCAAACAGGTGAAGAAAATTACTTATTGGAGCAATGTGTTAAAGAGAGTGATTGCTGTCGTTAGGGTACTAGCCATCTATGGGCTTTCATTTGGAGGAAGGGACAATACATGATGCTCCTCGAACTTTTTTTTTCTACTTGCGAGCAGTACATTCAAATGATTGCTGAAACTGTGGTAAGAGAGACCATCAAGGAAGTAAAGACAGCAAAATACTTTTCCGTTAATGTCGACTCAACATCCAACGTTTCTTATATCAGTCAGCTCGCCTTCATATTTAGATATGTAAAAGGAGATGGGTCGCCCATTAGGTGCTTCACCACAAATCCCAGTTATAAACTCGAACATTTGACGAAGTAGTACTTATCACTCTTAAATTGCACAAGTTAGATATCTCTAACTACCAAGGACAGTCGTATGATAATGCAAGCAACATGTCTGGTCCTACAGTGGTTTGCAAGCAAGAATTAAAGAAGTGAACCTGTTTACTGTTTGTTTGTCATACTCAGGATATTCACTGAGCTTGACAGTAATGTGTGACACCCAGTGCAGTAAGGAAGGCTGTTCTTTCTTTGATCTTTTCCAGCATCTGTCCGTGTTTTTCACTGCATCCACTCACCGATGGGAGAGTTTTCAAACTTATTTGTCATTTTAGATGATACTAGTGGGAAAGAGACACTGTGTTGCTGTGTCGAAACCTCTTTCATTCGAAATAAGAAAGCGTGTTCAAAATATATTCTAACTATAAAGTCAAAATAGCCTGCCTTGACAGTCGCAGGTAGGCATGACTATATAAATGCTAAAACAAGAACACTAGATGACACAGATATTCAATTCTTACAGATGGATATTAACCATACAGCTGTCACTCTTAAAACTAGAGGGATCAGCAAGAATCTCCGAATGCTAGGAGAAGGTGACAGTGTAATTACAGAATATTGTATTCCTGGTCATTTTGCAAAGGTAAAAATATTGCATAAAAAAGAAATAAATTCTGTGATGTTTCTCCACAGCCATCATGGAGTCTTAAAATGGACGTGCTACATTCTTTAAAACTGAATACATTGAAGACAATGCAATAAATTGCGGGGTTTTATACATTATTGTACCGGAAATATTGAGGACATCTGACTCTGGTACGCAGTCGATCCTAGAAACAGATGATTAGCTAATTGATATTGAGGAGAATGCTCTATGACCACTAATCTACAACAAATCATGGCCAAAGTCGCATGTTGCAGAAACGTCTTGGGGGGGGGGGGTACAGTAAACAACATAGAGGGGAAAAATCAACTAAAGGTAATTAAAAAGTCAAAATAAAATGTATGGAAAATAACAGAATACATACAACGAATTATTTCATTTTTCAAACCTTCAAAAGGAGAACTAAACACATAATCACTGTGAAACCCAAAAATCATCATCTATGTGGACTCTTAGAGTAGTGAGGCTATTTCCCAGGAACAATTCTGCTTAAACAGTTCATTTTCAAAAACTCTCTCATTGCTCACTGTCATCTATCTTAATCCAGTTTTCTAGATGTCTGGTTAAGTTGTTGCATAACATTAGTTCACTCTTAGTTCTCTGTAACATTCAGAAAACTCTTCATGTCAGTATCTCTGAGAACAATCTTGCATACACTGCAGCTAAATCACTCTATACTGGCGACTTCATGGCCTCTATTATCGAAATCAGTTTCTAATGGCAACATCAAATCCAAATCACTCTCTACCGGTGACACTGCAGTCACATCGAGCTCTACTTACAACATCACAGCCGAATTAGCCTCCACTGACGACACCACAGTCAAATCAACTCCTGTACGCGACATCACAGTACTTATTTCATACTTGGATTTCAAATTAATCAGCATTGAATAGATTTACGCCAGTCAGCAGGCGAATTGTATGAACCAGTGACATAGCAACATGAAATTACTATCAAAGATTGGCCATTGTGTAGGTATTGGAGGACTAAAATGTGAAAATATTTTCATTACACATCGTTTTATTTTCCAGAAGAATGACTCACCAATGTGTGAGGACTCTCGTCAATGTTTTACTTTCAGCCGCCGTTAAAAGATTCAATATTTTAAAATATTCATTAGTTTAGACATATTTTAATCTTTACGCCACGATTACACTGAAGATTCAGGTGAGTTCCCAGTATCGTAAGTTAAACTGAGAGTGTACTGACAAAAGTATTGTACTGGCTAAGAAGATAGCTATGCATGTATATAAGCAGGTAGTTTAGTGCACATCTGTTTATTCTGGCATGGCCTGCTGATTAGAGTTCTTGAGTTTTTCCTATAAACGAGTAGCCAGAGAGTAGATGGTGAAAGGTGGTGAGTAAATGGCTTCCCTTTAATTTCATAATTTAGAAATCAGGGACGACTAGTGCAGATAGCTCTGGAGTAGATTAGAACGAAAATCAATAAGCAAATAAAACTTACGCATGACCTGATTGGATGCAAATAAATGAAGACGAACTGACTTTCTATTAATTGTGTGTTTCAAATGTTTAGGTTTTTGATGTTTTAGTTTCGTTATGTCGAACGCTAAAGAGAAGAAAAAAGAAGCAACTAATAAAGTTGTAAAGAAAATACAGAACATTAAACGTGAGAGTAATAGAAGAAACTGGCGTTTCATATTCCAAGTAGTTTTAATGCTATATGACATACAGTAAGACTACATTTTTTATGGTTTTAATATATGGAGACAAACAAGCTATTTTGTTTAATGTAATGTTGGTATACATAAATATGTTGTTCTTGTATTTAAACAATATATATTTATTTTACAAATTAAACTTAATCTGGGCGAAATCTGGCGTTTATTTAACACTTTTTAAAATCTCGAGATTCAAGTGTTTTAAAGAAATTACAGAATAAAGTTGCAGTTATTATGAAATCGCCCTCTGTAGTTAAGGAATAAATAAACTGGATTGAAAACAACATTGCTAGCTTATTTGTCCTAAAGCATTGAATAACGTATTTGAAAATTTTCTTGGAATATCGAATACTTGGTTCACAGTGTTAATTCAAGTGTAAACCTACCTGTCACTCGCTCCACTAATTGGAAGGACAGGTGAGGATATTTGTTACGGGTAAAAGGAAAGAAATACGACACT